GGATTTGGCAACACAGAGGTAATTTGTATCATGATATATTTTCTTTATAATAACTAAGATAAGAACAGCCATGTCAAGACACAGCTGTAATTTTAATAAATATTAAGGTTGTATCAGTTTATATGCCTGCCAGTTGCATATCAGACTGTTCCCACACACCCATGCCAACATGTGGTATTATCCAACTTTCTTGATACTAGCCAATCTGACAGGTGAAATATGGCATCTCCTTTTAGCTTCAATTTCCATTTCCTTTATTATAAGAAAGGTACAGCATTTTTCATATACTTAAGAGTCACTTATATTTCCTTTTCATATGCTTTGCCCATTTTTCTTTTGGATTATCGGTCTTCTTCTTAATGATTCAAAGAAGCTCTTTACATATTAAGTAAATTAGCCTGGTGACTGTTGGTCTGACTTGACCGTGATTTTGCCATGTAGAAGCTTTGTTTTTATGTAATCAATTACATAATCCTTTTCTTTTTGTCAGTCTGATGAGTGTTCTCTCCAACATTTAAAAAAACAATTTTTTAGCCCTGGCCAGTTTGGCTCAGCGGTTGAGCGTCGGCCTGCAGACCAGAGTCCCAGGTTCGGTTCCTGCTAGGGGCATGTACCACACAAAAAAACCCCACAAAAAACAATTTTTTAGCCTTGGCCAGTTTGGCTCAGCAGTAGAGCGTCGGCCAATGAGTTGTGAGTTTGATTCTGGCCAAGAGCACGTACCTCAGTTACAGTTCGTCCCCAACCCTGGTCGGGGTTGTACGGGAGGCAATGAGTCAATGTGTCCCTCTCATGTTGATGTTTCTCTCTCACTCTCCTTTTCTTTCCCTCCCACTCTATCTGAAGATAAATGAACAGTATCCTCAGGTGAGGAGAGAGAGAGAAACATTGATGAGAGAGAGAGAGACATACCGATTAACTGCCTTCGCATGACCCCACCCAGGGCCAGGAATCGAACCACAACCGAGGTACGTGCCCTTGGCCAGAATCGAACCCGTGACTCTTTGGTCCGCAGGGCGACACTCTAACCGCTGAGTCAAACCAGCCAGGGCCCTCCAACATTTTAATGGGGTAATGTTATTTATTTGACAAATGAAATTGTATAAACAAGATGTACACAATATGATTTGATATGTGCAAATACTATAAAATGAATATCATAATAAAATTAGTTAACACATCCATCACTTCATATAGTTACCACCTTTTGTGTGGTAAGAACATTTAATTTCAAGTATACACTACCATATTGTGAACTATAATCACTATGCTGTACATCAGATCCCCAGAACTTACTCATCTTACAACCTAAAGTTTATACTCTTAAACCAGCATCTCCCCATTTTCCCTAGCCTCTGGTAACCACCATTCTATTTTGTTTCTGGATTCAACATTTATAGATTCCAAAGTAGGTGAGATCATACAGTATTGTCTTTGTCTGACTTATTTCATTTAGTATAATGTCCTCAGGTTTATTCATGTTGCAAAAAGAAGAATTTCCTTTTTAATGGCTGGATATTTGTATGTGTACATGTACGCACATTTTATCATTTCAACCATCAACGGATACTTAGGTTGTTTTCATGTCTTGGCTTTGGTGAATAATGCTTCAATAGCTCTGGCCAGTGTGGCACAGTTGGTTGAGCACTGTTCCATGCACTGAATGGTCACAGGTTTGATCCCCAGTCAGGGCACATGACTAGGTTGCGGGCTTGATCCTGGGGATTGTGCGGGAGGCAGCCAATTGATGTTTCTCTCTCACATCAATGTTTCTCTCCCTCTCTCTAAAATCAATAAAAACATATTTAAAAATAAACAAACAAAAAAGAATGCTGTAATAAACATGAGGGTACAAATATTTCTTTGAGATACTGATTTCATTTCCTTCAGATATACCCAGAAATGGGATTGCCGGATCATGTGGTAGTTAAAATTTGTGAGTAACTTCCATACTGTTCTCCATAATGGCTGTGCCAATTTACATTCTCTCTGGGAGAGTTTAATCATATTTTATTATGACTTCATTTTGTATTTCTTTGATTAATGAAATTGAGTTTTCTGGCTATCTGAGTTTCCTCTTTTATCAAGGGCTTGATCAATCAAGTCTAGGACCCAGTTTTCTACTGTGTTGTCTTTTTCTGATTTGTAGGAATTCTTTAAAGATTTTTGTTTTATATTGCAAATATTTTCTTGTTTTTTAATCCTCACCCGAGGATATTTTTCTATTTCTCTTTAGGTAGAGTGAGAGGGAGAGAGAGGGAAAGAAGGGGAGAGAGAGAGAAACATCAACGTGAGAGGGACACATTGACTCATTGCCTCCCACACGACCATGACCAGGGCCAAGACGAACTGCAACCAAGGTATATGCCCTTGGCCGGAATCAAACCCCCTACTCATTAATCCATGGGCCGACACTCTATCACTGAGCCAAACCGGCTAGGGCTGCAGATATTTTCTTGAGGACTTGTCTTTTCATTCATTCTTTGGTATCTTTTTTTTTTTTTTTTTTGGTACGTGCCCCTAGCAGGAACCGAACCCGGGACTCTCTGGTCCGCAGGCTGAAACTCCAAATGCTGAGCCAAACCGGCCAGGGCATTATTTTTATTTATTTATTTATTTATTTTTAATCCTCACCCGAGGACATTTTTCGATATTTTGTTCAGATAGAGCGGGAGGGAGAGAGAGGAAGAGAGAGAGAAACATCGACATGAAAGGGACACATAGAGTGGCTGCCACCCACAAGACCAACCAGGGCTGGGGACAACTGCAACTGAGGTACGTGCCCTTAGCGGGAACCGAACCCAGGTCTCTCTGGACCACAGGCCGACGCTCTAACCACTGAGCAAACTGGCCAGGGCTTTTGATGAATATGTTATTAATTCTGAAGACAACACATTTTTTCCCAATGGTTAGTGTTTTCTGTTTCTTGTGTAAGAAATCTTCCCCTGCCCTGGCTCATTATACTATCCAGCCTACTTTTATCCAGGTTTGACATTTTCCATAACACAATTTTTAAAAATGTTTTATTTTAGCCTTTTGTATTTTCATATATTTTTAATGAGTTTGTTGAAAAGAAAAAACCAAACCTGCCAGCATCTTGATTAGTAATGCAAAGCCAACATTAATTTGGGAAGAACTGCAATGTTTTCTAACCCATTAACAAGGTGTCAATTTCCACTCACATAGGTCCTTCAAATCTTTTCTTTATATGACTTAAATTAACATAATTAGAAGGTCCTGCTCCAGTCCAAGATTATAATATAATCACCTCATACTTTCTTCTAACAATTTATGGTTGTTTTTCAAATGTTTATACTTCCTATCTACAATGCAAATTATTCTGATATAAACATGAGAAAAGAATTCAACTTCATTTTTTTCTATATAATCTCCCAATTGTTCCTATATGCATTGAAGTCTATTTCTTGATTACTCTGTTCTATTAATTCATTTGCCTATTCATGACTCAGTTTACTTGTATTCTATTTTATTATTTAAAAAATTATTTTTCTTTATTGATTTTTAGAGAGAGAGGAAGGGAGGAGAGAGAGAGAAACATTGATAAGAGAGAACATCAGTTGGCCGCCTCCTGCATGTCCCCCACCCTGGGATTTGGGCCCACAACCTGGGCATGTGCCCTGACCAGGAATCAAACCCGTGACTTCTTGGTGCACAGGTCGATGCTCAACCACTGGCCCAGCCTAGCATTCTATTTTAAATATCATACTTTGCAACATAATTTGACTACACATCACCACTCCTACCCTTCACTCTTCTTTTTCAGAATTTACTGACTATTCTTTCATGTTTGCTTAACCATTTGTACTTTAGAAATTGCTTGAGTGGCTTAAAGAAAACAACTTGTATTTCTACAAGGATCAAGTTACATTTATAGATTAATTTAGAAAGAACTTTACAACTTATGATGTTGAACCTTCCTACCTAACAACACGGTATGTTTTTATTTTCAAGTCCTCTCAGTAACTTCTTTTTTTGTTAATCCTCACCCAAGGATATTTTTTCCATTGATTTTTAGAGAGAATGGAAGGGAAGGAGTGATGGGGAAGAAAGGGTGGAAGGGAAAGAGAGTGAGAGACATCAATGTGAGAGAGACACATCAACTGGTTGCCTCCAGCAGGCACCCGGACCAGAGCAGAGGATGAAACATGCAACCCAGGTGCATGCTCTTGACCGTGAATCAAACCCAAGACCTTCCTGTGCAGGGGCAGGGGGACAATTTAACAACTGAGCCACACCAGCCAGGGCATCAAACCATTTTGAAAGATTTCATTACACAGATCTTATCCATTTCTTCAGTTTACTCTTTTTAGTTACTGTTATAATGAGGTTCCTAACTATTCTATTTCTTATTTCAAAGTCACACCAAATTGTTATACGTTACCACTAAAATAATATTCATTTCATACATAAGCACAATCAAGTGATTAAGAGGACATTAATTTTAAAAATAAAAGAGAAATTTTAACCTTACACCAATATATCATAAACCATGATAGATTACATCATGGCTATAGCTGCTCAGCTACAGCCACAAGCTCATCTACAGAAATCCCATGCCTTATAATGTGGCCAGAGGAGCGGTAAGCAGGAGAGGCAAGTCACAAACAACTGTGATTTTGCAAATTCTGACCACGTATGTGTGAATTCCAGCTTATAATTCTTACAAAAAAGAGCCCAATATACATGGTACATCAGGAATAAACCAATATTTAACTATATTAAAATTAGGAGAAAATTAAAATGGAAAGATAATTTTTATAGGGAAAATACTTTTATGTAATTTCAAGCACTATATTTTGTAAGTTTTTGTTTTACTAACTGAATTAAATTTAACTGTCAAACTTTTATTCTACTACAAATTACACTTTTAGTCTATTTAGGAAGACAGACATTTATCACTAGAGACCACAGAAAAAAAACCTGGTAGTAACTGCATTAAGACAGATTGAGAACTCTTTTTTTTTTTTTTTGTCCATTGAGGCATTTTATTTGCACATGTGTATTACATCCCTAAAAAAGAATCCCAGGATTTTCCCTCCTGTGTTTTTTCATCTTGCTTCTTCATGGTCCATGATGCTCGCTGAGGTTGTCAGTACAATGAAACCAAACTGACGGGATGGAAGCAGGTTGTTGTGCCATTTTTCTAGAGTTTTGAGTTGCACATCAAATCTGGGGCTGATTACTCCACACTTGTTCAATCGGCCTGTGAGGTTCACAACAATTTTCCCAGCTCTGTGGTCATCAATAATTTCAAATTCACCAATGTAACCATGCTTCATCATCACAGTTAGAAACCGGACGATGACTTTGGAGCTCGGCCTAATAAGAACCTGGCGTTTGCCTCTCTTTTTGGCATTGTTGACACTCTTCAGAGCATCAGCCAGGACATTCATGCACACCATTATGGCGGCATGGAAAGATGGAGGAAAGAGCAGATTGAGAACTCTTGGATAAGAGTTCTTTACTTGAAGACAATCCATTGCTCCAAGGACTCAGAATAAAAAGAAGTAAATGTGGAGGGAGATAATTCATTATAGACCAAGATATTTTAATTATTCCAAACTCTATAGAACATTAACATAAATAAATATAAATAATCTTATATAATCAAACATCCATTATTGGAGTCATAAGAAATTGATAATGTTGGTTGTCTATGGGGAAGAAAATTGGGTGACTAGGGGGCAAGTATGGGAGGGAGAATTTTCATTATATCCCACCCATGCCTTTTGAATTTTGTACCATGCAAATGTATTACATATTCAAAAATATTAAACTTTAAGAACCCATGAAACATTATAAATATCCAAATGAAGAACACTTCTGAATCTTCTACAAACCATATTTAAAGATACTGTCACTATACCATACAAATTCCCTACATATGAGAATCTGCTTTATAAACACGTTAAAATGTAATGTAAGGAAGTGCATTTCTAGACTACTTACGTGTGTTCTTTTATCACTCACTAAAAAGCCATTACTCCTATCGCATTTTCCTTTTTCTTTTAAGCTAACCCTTAAAGAGCTAGCTTTTGTGGACTATTGCTCATTCTGGGAACACCTCTTCCACTGATCTTTTTAAAATTTTATCTAATCTATTTCACATATTTTTAATGCAGGGTCTCATAAATCATTTCCTTAAAGTAAATAAAATAAGTTCTTCCTGACATTCCTTTTTATTTAACTATTAGAAGGGCAAAACAAAACTTACTCTGCCATACTCTAGAAAAGTATCATTCCTAACCAATTAATTTGGCCACATTTTTGTAGTACCCCTTAAACTTTTATTTTAACAATTTAATCCTAAAATTGTCTCTCAGTTGTACTTCAAAGCATTTGGAGAATAAAACAGCCTTACAACACCCACCCAATAAAGTATGTAGAAAACAAGGCCTTTTTATTCATAAAATTATAATGAATTATAATTTGCCATTTAACAGCAGACCACACTAAAAGGAAAACTTTTTAAGAGAATACTTGTTAAAAATTACCATAATCTTAAAACTAGGTTTTTTTAAAATTGAGGTGAAATACACATAACATAAAATGAATCATTTTAAGGTGAAATTTGGTAGCATTTAGTACATTCACAATATTGTGAAGCTACCACCACTAGTTCCAAAACACTTTTATCGCTCCCCACAAAAAAGCCTCATACCATTTAGCAGTTACTCCTCATCCTGGAGCCTGTACCTTCAGCCTCTGGTAACCATCAATCTGCTTTATTTAAACATCTACAGATTTACTTTTTTTGAATATTTCATACAAATGGAATCATACAATCTGTGACCAAAAGGTCTGGCTTCTTTCAGTTAGTATGTTTCTGAGATTCATCCATATTGTAGCAAGTATCTATACTTTATTCCTTTACATGGCTAATTACAGTCCATTGTATGTATAAAGTATAATATGTTTATCTATTCATTCATTGATGGATATTTGGTTGTTTTTATCTTTGGCTATTGTGAATAGTGCTAAACATCTGTATACAAATACATGTGAGTACCTGTTTTCAATACTTTTGAGTATATACCTAGAAGTTTAATTGCCGGACCAAACATAATTCTATTTAACTTTCTGCGAAATCACCAAACTATTTCCACAGTGACTGAACCATTTGACATTCCCACTAGCAATAAACAAGGTATCCAATTTCTCCACATCCTCACTAATACTTCTTATTTTCCATTGTTTTATTATAGCTATCTTAGTGGGTTTAAAGTGTCAAAACTAGTCTTAAAAATGTCCTAACAGTTATCTAACTTCTGAAGGAAGGTAGAATGCCTAATCAGTAAGAATGGGAAATATTAAACTCTAATTTCTTCCTCCTCTTCCCTTCCCCACCACCTCCTAAAAACTCAAATAACTAGACTTTTTCTGCCAGAAAGTAAGTAAAAATGTATTGGATGTAAGAAGACAAGCTCAGTTGGTTGAACATCGTCCCATGCACCAAGAGGTCGCTAGTTCGATTGCCAGTCAGGGCACATGCCAGGGTTGCAGGTTCAATACTCAGTAGGGCGTGTACAGGAGGTAGCCGATCTATGTTTCTCTCTCTCGTCTTCTCTCTAAAAAATCAATTAAAAAAAACCTTTTCTATTATTTTTTTATTTTAATTTTATTTTCTTTTTATAGTTTAAATGATTTTATTTTTAGACAACCTACATGACATGTTTTTCCTTAAAAACAATGCCTCCACTCCAAATAAATCAAGATGAAAATAAATGAAGAGCTCAAGATAACATCAGTCACATGTGTCCTAGTCCTGGTGTATGGATGAAAAGCAGCAGCTAGTTATGCTGACAGGTGATAGATCCAAATTCCCAAATTTGCTAACATTTTTCCATTTCTAAACCATCCTTAAAGACCCGGGTTCGGTTCCCACTAAGGGCATGTACCTTGGTTGCAGTTTGTCCCCGGCCCTGGTTGGTCGTGCGGGTGGCAGCCACTCGATGTGTCCCTTTCACATCGATGTTTCTCTCTCTCTCTCTTCCTCTCTCTCCCTCCCACTCTATCTGCACAAAAAATGGAAAATGTCCTCGGGTGAGGATTAAAAAAAAAAAGAAAATCATATATGGGGTTACACCATCCTCACAGTAGTCCAGCAGAGCAACCATGCCATCTAGATTCATGTTCTCACCAATAAAGAACTGGTAGTTTTTGAAATTAGCAAGGATTTCCTGGTTTGTTCTGCAGCCCCTGTCATAAAAGGCTTTACTCTTTCTGCCTCTGTTCTTCAAGGTTCCCTTTGATTGATTTCTTTGATGTACTTCTTGTAGGCTTCTTTTGTGAAGCTGGTTTCCTGCAAATGATGGTTCATGACAATATCAACACCAGTGATTACTGTACTTTCAGTACCTTTGCCGTTGTGGCCTTCAGCGGAGGCATTTCCACCAATGAGTGAGTCATCAATGTTACCCTCTGTCCTACTAACCATCTTCCCCTTTACCTCCAGGCAGAGCCCATCTGTGATCTCCCAGATCTTGTAGATGTAGAAGAATATCTCATCATGGCTGATGAGGTCCCGGGAGATGATCATGATGGCCAAAAATATATATATATTATTTATCCTCACCCAAGGACATTTTTCCATCTTTTGTTCAGACAGAGTGGGAGGGAGAGAGGGAGAAAAACATCGGCATGAAAAGGATACATAGAGTGGCTGCCTACCACATGACCCAACCAGGGCCGGGGACAAACTGCAACCAAGGTACGTGCTCTTAGCAGCAACTGAACCAGGGTCTCTCTGGACTGCAGGCCAACACTCTAACCGCAGAGCCAAACCGGCCAGGGTCAAAAAAATCTTTTAAAAAATATCCATAAAAGGTACCCCAAGAGTGAACCCTAATGTAAACTAGGAACTTTGGGTGATAATGTGTCAGTGTGGGGTCATTGATTCTACACATGTACCACTCTGGTGGAGGATGTTGATAATATGCGGGCAGAGGATATATGGACACTCTCTGTACTTTCCACTGAATTTTGTTGTGAAAAGAAAATCCAGTCTATTTTTAAAACTATTAAAATATTTTTAGAAGTACTAGATATATAGAATGCCCTATGTGATATGCATGTAAATATAATCTAACTTAATTTTCACAATAAGCCTAGAAATTAGGTGATGTTAGTGGATGTATTTCTATTTTACATTTGAAGAAACTGTGATTTAAAGAGGGTAACTCAGACCTGAACTACAGCCCTGACTCTAACATCATGATCTTTCCACCACACCCTTGACTTCACTTGACGCTGGAACACTATCCAGCATTATTAGCTAACACTCATGAAAGTCTTGAGAGTCTGCAGCTGAATAAAGAGCAAATTACACTCCTTGTAGCTTCAGTTCTACAGCAGGTGATTTAAACTTGCAAAACATGCTCAGTATATACCGTAAAAATTAATCACAACACTCAAACTAGCAAGAACATTATCTTCCTCTCTACTTTTCTGGGTAATCCAAAACTGACAAATGTTTATAGCTGGTTTACGAATTGGGAAGGCTGCATTACATGCTAACAGCCATACCTAAGTTCATTCAGTTCTATGCCAGCAGAGCCTGGAAGTCCTCCAGATGTACATACTCAACCTCAAGAAGGATAAAGCTTTATTTGGATCCCTTTACAAATTAGTAAGTACTGGCCTTTCCTCACTTCCACTATACAGTAACTATACAAAATAAATTCTCAAAAGTAGCAAATAGCCCTGGCCGGTTTGGCTCAGCAGTTAGAGAGTCAGCCTGCGGTCCAGAGAGGCCTGTGTTCGGTTCCTGCTAAGGGCACGTACCTCAGTTGCAGTTTGTCCCCGGCATTGGTTGGTTGTGTGGGTGGCAGCCACTCGATGTGTCCCTTTCACGTTGATGTTTCTTTCTCTCCCTCTCCCTCTCTCTCCCTCCCACTCTATCTAAACAAAAAATGGAAAAATGTCCTCGGGTGAGGATAAAAAAAAAAAGTAGCAAATAATCAAAGAGAATAAAAACACAAAGGGCAGACTTAACTCCTCATCCACCCAGGGCATTGAAAAATAACCGAATTTTTATCCTAGCCCATTAAAAGGAGTGAAGGAAGCGGCTTGTCATTTAAGGATCAAAAGCAAATTCAGCAGTTGTGGGAGATGAGTTTCGGCAGTGGGGAAAAAAGAGCCCAAAATAGACTCATTAAACATGACTAGGTAGGAGTTCTGATCAGCACATATTTTTAGTAATCACACATTTATAACTTTCATATGTCCAGTTCAAAATTAGTCTAGCCATCATTTTTTTTAAAATGCCAGAAAAATTATTCCTACTCCCACAATCATCCTCACAATGGAAATAAGCACGCATTCAAGGCCCAGTACTGATTCTACCACTGCCCTGTAACCTTGTAAATCCACCTTGACAGTTAATTTTCACTCCCACCATTCACATTCACTCACCCTGCACTGCTTTCTCCTGTCA